GGACTCTGTTCTAGGTTAGGTATTCTATGCTGGTAAACCTAAACGTCCAGAAAGCTAAGTCTAATAATAATGAAGCTTGTAACTGTTCAGAACCCATTGGCTTAAAACGAATAAGTTACAGGCCTCCTGCATTTACATCCTTTGGGAGGATTAATCAGGAAGCTTAACCTATTCTTGTTTTATATAAGATGTTGTAGGCGCTTATCGAGTATTTGAGTTTTCCTCTGAAGTTTGCTGTCACTTATCACAGCATAAGCATTATATAACAGTTTTCTCATGTCCTAGTGTTCGGTTGATTGGCTTGGAAGGTAGCATAACGGCTTTTAACTCTGTACGCCCACGGTCGGAATCTCTCTGGATCTGCCGATGAGGCCTGTGAGACGTCACTGACAAAATAAAGCCACTACTTCAATTCATCATGAGTAGAATAGCTATCGGGGCCTAAAACAACATGCATAAGTCAGTGTGGCTAGAAGTGGAGGGACAACAGTATAGGAGAGTCTACGAGGGACTAAATTATCCTAATAGATACTATCAAAAGATAAATGAGCTAAATAAAAAAATTATTCACGCTAGTTGGTTCAGGATGATGCAGGGTTTCGATTACCGTTTGGAATGGGGAGACCCAGGCGAGATGAGAATATCTTTTGGGAAGCAAGGCTATGTGAAATTCAATTCATACGTACTACAATCAGTAAACATACTGGTTTGAGACCATTGTACCTCATGCCCAGTCTCGGCCATGTATTTTGCTACTTTTGACCGTTGAACCCAGCTCCCTTTACAAGCACTTTTGTGGTCCCCTAATCTTTTGTCTAATATGCAAAGAAAATCTTTAAAAAATATATCACTACGGGTTTTATGCATAAGCGAACACAGACATGAACATACACACAGAGAGACAGACGCACTCACAGTCTTCGAGGCTGACATATGACCGTAACTAACCAAATCAATTTATACCTGCTCAAAGAGGCCAGTTGTAGAGTATATATACCACTTTTTAGGGATTTGTCGGTGAGTTTTCTTAACTCGTTAGCTTGAATTTGTTTGTAACGATGATACCTTGTTCTGATGATGTTCATCATATGACGGACGAAAGCTTTGTACCTTTTCACCGAAATCGAACGAGATTACTTCGGAAACAGCGTCACCATGTATATACTCTTCACCAAACACTTTCTTTCGAAATGAAAGTAAGCTCCCTAACTTTATCGAATAGTCCGGCATGTCTCACCAACATAAGGCTGACGACAGCACGACTGTCATGTATTGTAATAAACCCACACCTCAAGCCCCCCTTCACTCTAAGTCACCTAGGATATCTATGTTTCTTCTAATAGCGTTAATTTAATGATTTAATCAAAGGTATGATGACAAAGATACTGTGATCATTAATTTAGTCTCAGTCTCCTCTCGTTATATAGCAATAGTTTGAACTCGTTTCGCAACTTGTGTTTCCAAAAAGTTCTCAATATCCGGAGTCCTCCTTCATAATATTCTTGATAATTTCCAGTGTCGAATTATGAACTTGGTACCTTCCCAGACGTAATTTGTCTCTTTGACGATTTGTAGTTTGGAGCTGAAGATGTTGGTTTTTATATGACGTAACTAAATAAAATACCAGAGAAACGTCTGGGAGAGTGCCACGTTAAATGTCCAGTCATGAAAATTATCATGATTGCTATGTCATAGGACATCTTACAAAGTAAATTCATCTAGTTTTCCCTGACAACAAGATTAATCTGAGAAAACTAAGGGAAGACGACTCCTTAATTGAATATTTTTGCTAGCTTTGTGACTATGCTTCAGTAGAGCCGCTTTTGAGGTATTAATTTGCTTCTCTTTGTGTTTAATAGCTTCAGGAGATTTGCCCTAAGCAAATCGTCGGGCTGGATGGAGGATGGCTTATCCGAGAGCATTCCGCCCCGATATCATAGGCGCCGGCAGAATGATCAGGCCGTGGATAAATCTCCGACAGTTCCAGAGGCTATGCGCATTGGCGGAGGGACAAGTGGAGAAGTTCAACTCGTTTTGACCTCGCAGGGGGGCGTGGATCGCGCCAAGACCTTGCGTATTGTGAAGATGCTCGCCGTCGTTATTGTTGTATTTGGAATGTCTTATCTTCCTTTAATGGTTATTTTCAGTCTCTTCAAGGTATATCACACATTAAGCGAACTCAACCTCGTTCCAGCTGACTGGAGCCCTGTCTGGATGCCAATCGCCATCCCCATTGCACAGTGGTTGTATGCCTCTAACTCGTGTGTCAACCCCTGGATATACTGTTTCTACTCGCGAACCTACCGTGAAAGCTTCCGGCGCATGTTGCTGTGTTGTCGAGGCGAGTCTCGAACGATGCCTGGCCGGTTTGGTCACAGCATCATGGCTGTATCTTCCAGAAGCAAAAGATGCCATTCAAATACTGTGTGTATAAGTAGCAAGGATGCCATTGACATATCAAAATGTGATAGTGAGATCATTTCAGTATAAAACAAGCCCAAATCTCCCTTCGATGCAAGTTAACATTGAGCATTTCGGTCATTCAAATGTGAATTTATTGTATTCCCAACCATTACCCCGATTTTTTCCCATTAACTTTACACTAACAATTGTTCTGTCTCTATTCCTTTGCATATTGCTAGAAGAGAAATAGCATTCTGCGCCAATAAAAGGTGTCCCATAAAATATCATGGGTCGCTACAAAGCTACATCGTGCAGCCTCCCCCAATGTAGATCTGCCTTCAAGTTCAATAAGCCGTAGCAGCCAAGTTTGACTTTTTCCTGATTTTATAACTAAAATCTACTATGCCACTAATGAATAGACCAAAATGATTTCACTTTCCGATATATGTCAATGTTCTTCCTGTTAGGGGATTACAACTTTTTTATTAAAAGACGTGAAAATAAACTCTTTGATGAGTTAAAACTTCAACTAGATAAAGGGGAACATAGCAAATTCACATTATCTGCGTTCATCCTTGTGGGCTTCCATAAATTTGAGACTATTTTTGAGTTAGTGAATGTGTGATACCTGTGTGAGTAATACCTGTCGATCGGTTACATGAGCAATTGAAATATTATTTCTCAATTGAATCGCAATTTTTACATTCGTGCGAGTCAGTTTCAATGAAATGGTCTCTGCAATACAATGAGAGGCAGAGGTCTGATGCTAAATAAAGACCGTTTACGCTTAGGGGAAGAAGTTCCAGGAATTAAACACACTTATTCGCTTCATCTACCTAAAGTAAATTCCCCTAAACAAACTTATTGCATATCGATCTATTCGGCGCTTGAAGACCTAATTATCCTAGCAACCCATGCTAGATTACGAAGAAGTTATCATTATCCAAGCCTACTTAAATTCTATCATTTCAAGAAGTGCAATTTACAACAAAATTCTATGCCGGATTAAACGTTCTGTTCAGCGCACTAAACAAGATTTCTGGTAACAACTGCCTATTGTCCCCAAACTTCCAATTAGGCATTGGGATGGATCCTTAGACATTATACTTGTAAGAGTCATAGTATGGCTGGTAATTTTTTAGTAGCATACACATCTGCTGAAAGAAGTTACTTTATCTCTCTTTTTCGTGTTGTAGCCAATGCCTCATTCTGTGTTTGTAATGAAAATCTATTTCTAAGGAAGAACCTTAACTACTGGGGCGAGAAGTTTGGACTCCTCAACAGAAACTGCGAGATGAAGTAAAGCCATTCATTAAAGTTATGTATCCGGAACATCGGCGAGTGAGCGCCTCCCCTAAACAGTCCAATTTATTCTAAAGCTTGCAGGCATGTCCTAATGACGTAATTCTCAAATCATAGAAGCGCCAAAGGCACCTCTTAAAAGAGGTTTAGCAATCACCAGTTTTACAACTAATCGTCGCCAGGTCAGTTCAACCTGTATCCACTAAGCAGACATGCTGAGTTATAAGACCATTATCAAAATTAGAGGCAAGGGAAAGTTAATTGATTTTTTTGGTGATTTGGTGGTTTATTCACGATCAAGGAGTACCAGATATACTTGTCTTAGAATGATGTCATCATATACTTCTACTATCTGCTCCATGAGTATTGATTATTGAGACTGTAGAAATCAGGAGCAACAGCTTTCATATTGACGCTGAAAAGCGTGTCGCAGTCTTTATTATAAAGCACAGAAACAGCAAGATCAATCATTCCTTTCTTAGACAATATATAACCTTAATCTTTTTAGAAGTACTTACGAAATTGTACATAAAGTACAGGCTCTAGATAAAAACAAGGCTGGTCAACGTGGCTTCGATCAATTTTATCTGGTAATTTGGATTTCTTGGTT